CTCCAGGCAGGTGGTGCCGTGGCTGGGATTCGAACCAACGACCCGCGTACTGCCAGGCGGAAGTGCTAGCCACTGTGCTGCCCACCAATATCACAAAGAATAAAAGTGAGGGTAAATCCAAAATTTGGGAGTTACCACCAAATCAGGAATAGAGGGGAAATATTCCAATGGAAACAACTGTTCCCACGACAGCTGCCTAAGGGGAGTTTTCATTCACATTAGTAAAATATCCTCTCCTGGACAGGAAGTGAAGAGAAATCTTCCTAGTGGGACACATTTATTTGAAGCCAGCAAAAGATCACTACTGGAAGTCTGTGTGTGTATGGGGGGGTCTGAATCTGGTCAGTGGGAGCAAGGAGGAGATTTTTATGTTATCCACCCTCCTCTATGCTTCATCCAATGAGAGAATGCCTTGTGTTTATTGAGAAACACTACAATACAGTCTCTGACTGGAGGTGCCAAGCTAGCAACCCCACATGTTCAGTATACAGAAGACAAGTTGCTCTAGCAGCACTTGGAAGAGCTAACTGTATGTAGAATGGACTATTACAGTGAATTTCTAAAGCTACCACACAAAGTGCAGCACAAGGACCTTGGGGTATATATAATGTCCTAATAAACAGCCCAGATGATGGCGTTGATGTCTTTATAAGTTACTTGGCTTTGAGTGCCAGCGTGAACTCCCACTGCTCGGGTTGTTTGTGAGAGAGTGCTTCAAACAAGAGCCCACCATATGCTTTTCATCCACTGCACACCACGGAAACCAGTGTAAGCACCATTTAGGATTGCTGCTTTTATGTGGATATCATTTACTCACTCTGGACTTTCTTTTTTCCACTCTTATTGACTCAATAAAGTGTCCGCTGGGTTTTAAAATGAGATTGGCATCTAGAAAAATTAATTAAACACCACCACAAGGTATTTATTGCTTGGACATGTAGTTGAGCATCATGTGTGGAATTGGAATTAGCCTGTAACTGGTATTCAAAGCCAAGTAATTTATAAAGACATCAGCACCATCTGGGCTGTTTATTAGGACACCATTTATACTCAGAAGGTGCTTGTGCTGTGTTTTGTGTGTTATCTTTTGACTTCTTCTACCCTCAAGTGGATTCTACAGCAGCAGGACCACTGGGACTACTTCAGTCACCACTAGCCAATAACATTTAGGGGTTTATTTACTAAAGCTGGAGAGTCCAAAATCAGACTCCCTTCTGCATAGAAACCAATCAGCTTCTAACCTCAGCTTGTTCAATGAAGCTTTGGCAATGAAACCTGGAAGCTGATTGGTTTCTATGCAGAAGGGAGTCTGATTTTGGACTCTCCAGCTTTAGTAAATAAACCCCTTAGTGTCTTGCTATATTGTTTGCACAATGAATTTCTGCATCTCTAGTGGCCCCCTGGGTGTGAGAATGTGTTATGAAGGATTATCTGTAACCAAGCTGGACCAATGCAAGTTAAAAAAAAAAGAAAAAAAAAAAAAGAAGATCATTCCTTCAGTTTAGCTTTAAACACTGCAATGAAAAGCATTCCCTTTTTACTGAATAGCTACTTGTTACTACAGGTATACAGGATGAAAAAGAAATTCCTGTGCTCTTGCATTGTATGATCTCTGCAAATGATTTGAAATGTAGAGAATGTTACAAGAATGTTACAAAAGTAAACATTTGATCCTGAGTTGATAACAGCCGTGTCTGCAGTTTGCTTCATAGCAAAACACAGAGCCATTGGCCATGTTTTTCAGTCTCTATTTAAATTCCAACAGCAACATGTAAGTAGGATGGGAAGTACTGCCTTCATAAATGGTACAAGTCATTAAACCATCCACCACAAAATCTGTCAATGATTTACAGCGGTAGCTTATGCATATATTTATATCTGGAGTCATAGCTGCATAGCCAGCCTCTATCTACGCTGGCTACAACTTTACTGTTTTTGCCTTTACTATATAGCTATAAGCCCAGAGGCGGACTGACCATTTGGAAACTCGGGCACTGCCCGAGGGCCCGGGGTCAGTAGGGGACCCCATGAGATGCCCCTGGTACCTTTTTCATAGGCATTTTGAGTTTGGGCAAGGACACAGGGGCCCCATGAATCCCCTATTGCCCAGGGGCCAAGCTGCAAACAAGCAATATAAGCCATGTAGCTCAAAACTACTTTTTTTTTTAAATTATTGTGAGAAAACCATTAACAAGAACAATGGCCACAACTTTTGACCAACAAGTCAAATCAAAAAAGACAAAGTACAGTATGTTATTATAACTGGGAGAGCTCTAACAGTGCTGGGTCTAATCTACTTGCTGTTTTTAAATCATTTTATTAACACAGAAGCACAGTGTTAATACACAAGAAAGCATTTCAGCCTGATTAGTAGTTATAAAGTACTTGGATGTCACTATACTTGGCTCTTGAAAATAAAACGAACACTTGCGTGCAGGGGCGGACTGACCATTTGGAAACTCGGGCGCTGCCCGAGGGCCTGGGGTCAGTAGGGGGCCCCATGAGATGCCCCTGGTACCTTTTTCATAGGCTTTTTTGAGTTTGGGCAAGGACACAGGGGCCCCATGATCCCCTATTGCCCAGGGGCCCCATGAGTTGTCAGTCCGCCCCTGTATAAGCCTATATTCTCAAAAGATAAACATATAATATATTTTAAAAAAAAACACACGCACACTAAAAAACAAAACCCTGCTACAAGTGTGGAGGTTTGGAAAGTTACAAATGTAAAAAAAAAAAAAAAATCACTAATCTTTTAACTACAAATAATAATTATGAATTCAGTAAAAGAAAAAAAAATGGTATATGATATTTATCAGTAAATGCTGCAAATCTTGCACACAATTGTTTACAAACTTGCCTGCCAACTAAAATACCGCATACAGGCACATTCCTGATTAACTTCACTCCTCATCCACATGACTTTAACCCCTAGGAAATCAGAGGGAATTTTAATAAGGTATGACAAAATTCAAACATGATCGGTAAGAAAAATAAACAAAAGCAAAACTCACGGCAATAGGCTTCCAATTGGTTCCTGATGTTTCCTGTCTTGAAATGTGAATACCTGAAGCCAACTTTGAATGAAATCCTACCCTTTACACCACTATTGTTTTTTTTCAGCGGACGACTTACAACTATGCTTTTTTTCCCTTAGAAAAACAATGGCAACATAAGCGAATCCAGTAAACACATTCTAGGCTGAGACCAACACAAAGGCAAACTCTAAACCAGGACTCCAAGAAATCTCTGAAATGCATTGTGGACATTCCTATATGCATGCTCACAAACAACTTCTTCATACCACTCCCAGCAGATTCCAAAAGAATGGAGTCTGCAACAGGAAAAAAAAAGGCTCTTACCTTTCCAGAGGAATGTGGGAAATCACTAACAAATCCTCCTTTAAGATGCATTACAGTTTAAAACAATGCTAGCAAAAAAAACATTGCTGTGACCAGCTGGACAGAACTGATACACAGAAAGACTGGATTCAGAGGAAACATGACGATGAACAAGGGGAAGAAAACCCCCTAAACATCTGAAATATGAACTCCTGGAACACAAAAGTAAAAGGGGGAGGTGAGCGGAACCCAGGAGAAATGTGAAAGTGAGCATGTAAGCAATTTCATTCAGCAAAGCTCCACCTCTTCCAGATATGTCATTTAACCATATAATAGCCTCATCCTACGGCTCACATTTACGGCTGTGTTTAAAATCAGCAATACCCTCCAAGAGGTTCATTTGTTCACCAGCGCAAGATAAAACGGCACATGGAGTTAAGGCCTCATAGCATTCTGTCAAGTCACTAATATGCATTTAATTTGAAATTTACAACTACCATCTAACAAACAATTTTTACAAAAAGGAAGATGTACATAATCCAGGAGCCAATTATATAAAAGGATCCCCCTGCGCTCTTATGTATAAAATTACAATTCAATATAATAATTGAAAATGATTAAAAAGCAGCCAGCATCCTATCCCATACCATAAGATCCAGATATTATGTACAAATAATGATGCAGCGCTAAAATAACAAAATAATAAAGAATATAGAAAAAAAGAGAACTATAAAACAGGTCCAAAAAAAGTGATCATATAACACACGTGATCCCAATCCCTATGGGGATATAGTAAATAGTGACCCACAAGTTCCCAAGATGGGACACAAGGTATCAAACACTGATAAAGATCCCTAGCACGGGATCAAACAACACACTATGTGAAACACACATCTTAAATAAGGTGGTTATCCCTATCGTATTATTCATTTTGTAATTGTACTGCCTCCCTTTATATTGTAAAGTGTGCAAACTGTTGGCGCCATACAAATTATATTATTATTATACAGTATTTATAAAGCGCCAATAGTTTGCTCCAGCATAATAATAATAATAATAGTATCAGCACATTTTATATCACAGATACTCAGGGACCATTCACAGCATTTCCAGCACCATGGTTTGAGTCCTGGTTCACACTGAGAACCTCATGTGATTCGCACAGGAATCGCACTGCATCCCTGTGCAAATCAGAGGCAATTCTGTGCGGTGCGATATGACGTTATTAATTTTGTATGGCTCAAATCACACCACATCTGCACAAAAAAGGTGCAGGCGCACTGGAATCAGATCGCATCAGTGTTTATACCCATGTGATATGATTCAGGCAAACGCACTGCCTTTGGGGACCTGCTTCTGGGATGTTGTTAACTTTTAATTGAGAAGCATAGCAGATCATATGAGCACAGTGCGATTGCTATGCAGTGTGGGAAATGCACAGGTATCATTGCATTTCCTGCACCACATCAGTGTGAACCCAAGCTAAAACGCGCTGCTCTTGCAATCTACAGTGGGTGAAGTAAAACAAGAAGAAGTGCACCAACCTTGCGCATTACCTCAGTAACCAAATTTATTTAGTAAAAGAATGGTACTCACAAACAGCGAATAAAAACAGGCATGTAAGTCCTCCCAGGGACTTCAAAGGCAAGAGGCCAGCGCGAATCCCATCATGGGGGTGGACACTCAGTACAGCTGATGCATTTCGAAGGTCATGCCTTCTTCCTCAGAAAGTGAGGAAGCTCTGAGGAAGAAGGCATGACTCCGAAACGCGTCAGCTGTACTGAGTGTCCACCCCCATGATGGGATTCGCGCTGGCCTCTTGCCTTTGAAGTCCCTGGGAGGACTTACATGCCTGTTTTTATTCGCTGTTTGTGAGTACCATTCTTTTACTAAATAAATTTGGTTACTGAGGTAATGCGCAAGGTTGGTGCGCTTCTTCTTGTTTTACTTCACAGTTCTGTTCGGGCTTCCCCAGCCTTGGTTTGGAGCTGCACGACCTTGTATGCCCCGGTGGTTGTTTTGTTGGGATTTGATATACTCACCACCGGCCTGGGTCCCGGAGCGCAGGAGAAATTGCATTTAATCTACAGTGGGTGTCAATGCAATGCTAACGACAGCCCAAACACAGGTCACAAACGCAGTGTGTTTGCTTGCCCTGAATTGCATGGTACAGAAGAACCATGCGATCTGGTTGCGGTGCATTTTATTCAATTAGTACAAGCACTAGTTTCGGTGCGGATCAATGGGCTGAAGACCCACTGCACTCAAATCACAATGGAATTGCACAGCAACGCGAGTGTGAACCTGCCCTCGAGTTGATATCAGTTTACAGTGCCAATAAACAGGGTGACAACTACTAGATTTCTGACAGCTTTCTAGTAAGCAGCTGTCAGTGTATGGGGACTTGAAGATACAGACAAGCAGATCACTAATAGTTTTCTCATCCTCAGTGCAGTGAATACCAATTAAAAGTGACATTACAATTTTTGAAATATTGCAGAGGAAAATAAACAGTGTATAATTCAGCCAACCCAGCACTTTGGATCACTCTGGGTATGCCCCAATAATCTGAAAAATTTACACAGTTGCTTAGTATATAGTTTAGGCATCTCTAAACTCTCTAAACAAAGCATCAGTTACTGTTCAGACTTGGGGGGGGGGGGGGGCAGATTGTGGCCAGTGGGGGTAGAAATGTCCCAGCATCAACTGGGTGTAGACAATGATTCAGGTTGGTGCTCAGTGGGGGTAAAAAAAAATAAAATAATTACACAGCGCCTGTTGTAAGTAGGAGGAGGAATAATGCCCCACCATTGGTATCAGTGAGAGGAAAAGTGTCACATCAGTGGTGTCAGTGGCAGGTATTATGCCCCACTGTTATCAGTGGGAGAGTTAGTGACCCAAGGGCTGGATAAAGGCTAGCAAAGGGCCACAGCTTGGAGACCACTGGAAAAGTCTATACCCACCAGTTCACTGTAAATAAACAAGAGGTGGCTAGCAGAAGTTAAAGTGATGTACAGTAATGAGAAAACAAACATAAAAAACCAAACATACATACTCACATATGTAGAAGGCTGCAGCATCGATCTGATGCTGCCCATCGCCGGCTCTGCAACATGAACTAAGCATTCAAAGATCGCTGATCGCTCACATTTCGGGTCTGCTCTGAGCGCAGTCACTGTCAGTCACCGCTCTCTGCTCTGCCCCCCCCCCCCAGTTTACTGGAGTGCCAGACTATAGAGGGGTGGAAACAGCTGGCTTAGCCTCTCAGTGGTGTGCTGAGAGGCTGAGCCAGCTGCTAGTCAGGCATCTGGGTGGATCCCAACATTACTGTTGGGACCCTGCAGAGCCTGGACCAGCTCTGTGACATCAATCAACAGTGGGTTTTAGCACTTCTGTAATCCACAGAAGTATGGCCAAAAGAGCTTTACCATACTTCTCCTTTAAAGTAGAACCAAAAGCAAAACGTTTTTTTTTTTTTAAGTTTAGATAGCAGTAGGATGTTATAACCTGTCAGTTTTTTTTTTTTTTGTCATCTCCATCCCATTAGGGAAATTTCTCTTCACTTCCTGTCTCATTCACCAAAACAAGAAGTGGGGGGAAATCCCTGCAAAGTGATGGAATCTCTGGTTGTTACCAGGTCCCCACTGTAAAATTTCTCCTTTACTCCCACTCTGATAACAATCCAAAATTTGGTTTTTTTTTTTTGCTATCACTCTCAGAAAATAATTCTAACAGGGTCACAAACAGCAATAAAAACCTGACAGGTGTTCTAATCCCTCTCCACACTATCCAAAACAAAGAAAGGCTTTCCCTACAGTTATACTTTAACATCTGTCTCCTTACAGGAGAATGAATGTTGAAAGTTTAAAAAAAAGAGCACAAATAAGATCCAAATATTTCTTAGCAATATCTGGATACCTTGACATGAGGGGTGAAAAATGATTACCCGCCTAAACCAACTGTTTTGTATTTCTTAAATGCTACTTTCTGTTTCACAAAGTTAAAATGATACTAATGATAACCTTATATTCTCCCCAATGTAATTCAATTCTTTATGTAATAGTTTCTTACCGTGGATTTTATTTTACCTTCTTGTAATGTCCCTGTGAGCTCCTGAACCTCTCCTTCCCCCCTCACTTCTGTTTGTGTGGAATGACCGGTGTAGGTTAGCGGGGGAACATGTGCACTGCTCTATGCAAACTACAACTCCCATAGTGCATCTCAGGAGCAACCAAGGAGGGTGTCTAAGTTCCTATATACAGTGACAACATGGAGAATGTAACCCCCCTCTAACAGCAAGCTGGATCACAGCAGAAAGAAAGGAATTTAAAGAAGGCAGAGAGAAGTAGAGGGTAGTGTTTTGAATTATACAGAATACATACTTCAACATAATTTTTCTTTTTTTAAAAGAAAAAAAAGTTTAGTGTTACTAAGTTTTGTGTCAGATGGGGAAGGGCTATAACTTTTAATTACTGGTGTCTGTGTCCCTACCATGAAGCTCCCCCTCTTCTACTCCTGTCCCAGAAACAACAAATAGTACATTGAAATATCCTCGTTTTGATACCAAAAGTATTTTTTTAATTTATTCTCCATTTCTATTCCTGTGACATTGTTTACCATGACAAATGCTGTAGGTTGATCTCCCCAGTGGGAATAAAGACAGCAGCGAAAATCTCAAAGATTTTTTGCACTTTAAACCACGCATGCCTAAAAACTAAAAGGATAAGTTCACCTTTGGGAATATGTCACACGTTCCACCCATTTTTAGGGTGGAACATGTAACATGCTCCCATAGCTGCAGCCGCAGATAGTACGGGGGAACTTCTCCCCGTACTATCTGTCAAATCTGAAAACAGCGTGACTGTGTGGGGCTCTGCCCACACGGCCGCGTCATTCAATCACGGACTTCTGTGAATGAATGAACTGCATGTCCCGACAGCCTTAGCGGCTGTCAGCTTGTAGTTTTCAATGAACTACCACGGCGCTGTGGTAGTTCATCGATTCTTCCTGTCAATATATCTGCTTGCTTATACATCCCGTATGGCAAAGCAGATATTCTGATAGGTCTGCAGGAGACCTGCATGGCATCAGCGATCTACTAATCGCTGGTGCAATGCTTTACAGGCTCCTGTAAAAAAAAAAATAATAAATAAATAATACCTGCAAAAAAATGTGCATTTATTATTTTTGTCTAAAAGGTAAACTTATCCTTTAAATCTCCTGAAAGACTCTGCCATCAAACGACACAACAGAAATTAGAAATGTTATGCTGAGTTTATATTCACAGACCATATTTTATTTTGCAATCATGAGGCAGCTTGGTATGGCGGTAAAAGTAGCCACCACTGTGGCATGATAACACTCAGAAGAGGCTGACTTTGTCCAATAAAATTAGTAACAGAACAAACAATGCCATGGCTTTGTAATTATGTGTCCATACTATTGAACTGGCCAAACGTGTCTAACAAGGCCTGGAGGACTTTGATCCATGCAATAACTAAAAAATAATTACAAATGGATGATGCAGTTACTGCATTTAAGGCATTCTGAGCAACAGATAATGAAGGTTCAGAAATGGAGATCAAAATCTATGTTAGAAAGACTGAAATGATAGTTTCAATGTATATGACACTCATGCCATTTCAATGCAGCAGAATCACTTATATACAGAACGCTTTTCAGCTACAACTATCCTCTCAAGATGAAATTATTTCACATTTATAGACATTACAATAATGCACTTTGCATTGTAAAGCCAAACTGTGAAGGTTGAGAAGGTGTTCACAGACGTTGGATGTCGAAGTTTTTGAATGTGCATAAAAAAACTGAAGTAAATTCAGGTAAATATACAGTTATGTTAAAAAGTAAGTACATTTGAATTGTTGAAATATTCAAAATATTTGACCAAGCAAACACTAGATTCTTATTCAAGCAATAGCCATAAAGGTAATATACAGGAATAAAAATGCAAAGAAAATTTAACTTTTCAAGGTAATCTGTCTGCCAGTTTTCCATACCTGGGATGTAAACAATGGAAAGAGCTGGAATATGACATCCTGCCCACCGAAGAATGTGAGAGGACTGCAGCGATGCCACAGAGCTTCTTGTTCCATCCTGGTGACTGACATAGGTCACTGCCGTGATTTTGTTTGACTGGATCCTGACTGATCTTGCCATAAGATGCTCTGTTCAGTGATCTAAGTCTGATCACACATTGATGCTCCAGAACACTGATGGATAGTAGAGAATCCTCCATTCTTCAATGGCCCTGGGTCAGCATTGGACCCATCGCCCGTCCTGAGCTGGACAGGCTGGCATCCATTATGACTACAGTCTAATGTATAGGGAGAAAAGGCTTCACGACCCAAAGAGGCAGAGACCCCCACCTTGGTGTAAACAGGTGGGGCAAACCTTCATGCCCTGGAAGGTTTGTCTGCGAGCTTATTGGGGTTGTATGGCCAGGTGTGCTTCAGGCCACCAGAAGGAACGTTGAAGGACTTGAAGCCCTTGTCAGAGGAATAAGCTGCTTATGCGCAGAGAAGATGGAACTTGCTTGTGCAGTGGCTCCTTGCCTTTCCTAGACTGCAGAAGAAAAGTATTTTTACCTACCAAAAGGGTCATCCAGAGTGGCACCAAAGAACCGTTCACCCTGGAAAGGAAGATCCACCAGGGCCTTCTTAGAGGTCTGGTCTGCTGACCAACACTTAAGCGAGAGGACTCGACGAAGGACCATGGCTGAGACAGAGTTTTGAGAGCAATGGAGTCGCATTCAAGGATGGTTGGTCCATTAGCCCCACATAGACTGGGGAAACATGCTCATTACCTAGACCCTTGTGTAAGAGCTTTTTCCACTCAGCGACAGTCTGAAAAATGAGAGCCATATCCAGAACCGGGCAAAGGACTGACCCCATGATTGTAAACATAAAACGTGCAACCGATTCTGCCTTCCTGTCTGCAGGATCCTTGAAGGAAGGAGAGTCCTCTACTGGAATCAAGGTTGCTTTGTTCAACCTAGAGAGCAGAGGATCCACGACAGGGGGAGAAATCCACATTTTTTTTTTTTTTTAAAGAAGAGCTTCTTCATAGGGATAATGTAACGAAAACATTTTGGGGCTATGAGA